GAGAGAGAGAGAGAGAGAGAGAGAGAGAGAGAGAGAGAGAGAGAGAGGATGTAATTAATCTGCGGAGACATTTCTAGAAATAGCTCTATAGTTTGAGTCGGACTCACAAACATCTCTGTGCATTCCAAATATTCTTACAATGGAAAAGAGTTGTGAAAAATGAGAAATGCTTTTCAACCCAAATGGCTCGCAATTGTTTCGAAACCAAACAAATAAATCCAAATTATTTCTGCCTCTTAAGTCTCAAATGACTTCTCGGTCATTATTAATTCAGACTTTTTAGAAACCCAGAGTTAGAAGAGCTTTGGGTTCATACAGTGATGGCCGCAACTTCAGGTTTCTGTGTTTGTGTTGGCTGGCGAGGTGGGAACAGAGAGAGCCTAGAGCAGACAGGAGCGGAGCAGAAAGGACAAGGATATAGGGCCAGGGGACAATGTAATCTCGGTGAGTAGGGCGACACAGGGGCCCGGGCTGCCAGATGGTTGCTTTAGAAGACTTAGCTCAGGCAGCTTTGGGTCTCCGCTCCCAAAGATACACAAACTGACTCAACTCCACTGTTCTCACCCAAAAACGCACAAATGGCAGAGAAACACTCGCTGGCTCCCTCTCTCGCGCTCTTCCACACAAAGTCACATCAAACGCGTCGGCTGCGATGTTGCGTTAGATGGGAGACGCCACCCAAACAGGGCCTGGCAATGTAGGGCAGTGGCCGTGCGGTGTTTTGGCAGTTCAGAAAACATCAAGCCAACTCTGCGTGGAGTAGATAGAGGCCAGAGGAGGGGCCGGTACAGTTTCAGACGACAGTCGTGACCGCGTAGTACATACTCTGCCCCGGGGTTCCTCTTAGACTTAGCCCTCGAGAAGAGACACATTTGGAAAGTCGCTTATGAGATTTATTTTTCCTGGAATCATCAGCTTTTGGTTACATAAGCGAGATATAAGGGGAAAGCGTTTTATAGCCAGCGTAAGAGAGATCTGGGGGGGGATTTACTAGGAAATGTAACAGGTAACAGGTATTTGGGCCAGGTATTAAAAATGCATTACTGTCGGTGAGATGGAGCTAAAATAGCACAGGCATTAAGTATTCATGACAATTTAGCCATTTAAAGCCAAGTCATCCGAATGCAATGAGAGGAGGGCCTAGTTAAACATGACTCAGACACACAC